AATTGTTTGTCTTCTTGCTCTCTAATTTCAAATGTCAATTTACTCATCTCAGCACATTCCAATACACTTGTTACATTCTTATGTGTTACAATTTTTATCTTTTCCAAATATTGTCCCTTTGAATGTTATAGGTCATAGATAAGAGAATAGATCCTGTACACCTTTAACTGAGAGCCAGTTTGGTGTAGTGGTTAAGACATCAGGCTAGAAACCAGGAGACGGTGAGTTCTAGTCCCGCCTTAGGCACGAAGCTAGCTGGGTGACCTTCAGCCAGTCACTCTCTCTCAGCCCAAGGAAGCAGGCAAGGACAAACCACTTCCAAAATCTTGCCAAGAAAACTGCAGGAACTAATCCTGGCAGTCACTAGGAGTCAACAACCGCCCCACCCCCGGCCAAACTCCTTTAATTATTACTTAGAAAGACAAATTCACAGATACAGCTTGCCATGCTAGGTACACCTGAGGTATTTCCCTCTTGTACACAAATGTGCAACAGCCTTGCTCTCTTTTGCACCTCTACACCCTCCATCCAGCCAAAGTTGCCTATTTGTAGCCTTTTCTACTGCAACACATACATGGACAATAATGGTTGCTTATGGAGTCCTTGGGGTTCTCTGAGCCTAGTTGTTTTCTTGCAAACATTTTGTTACCCTGCTAGGTAACATCTTTAGTGCTAGGTAACCCTAGTTACCTGGCTAGGTAACATCTCCAATGGTTGCTTACCTTTGTCTCTACGCAAGTTCTCCCAGTGCTGGAAAACACTTTTCTCATTCCTGATTTTGTTGTTATATATTTGGGAGCTGGTGCTTTTTTCATTTAATGTAATGCCTTTTGCGTGTTTTATGATGTAATTATTGTGAATTGTTACTGTTATTTTGATCACTCTTAGAATTTGTAAGTTGCTTTGAGTGCCTCCATAAGGAGAGGAAAAAGTGAATAACACTATAAATATAAATGCATTATTGCTTAGGTTTCACTAATGGGAAAAATAAACTGTGAATAATATCTATCGCTTAAACAATTTGAACTAATAAACGGCTTACAGTATTTGGCTAGATTATGTTGTTTCCACAAGGTTTTTCCAAATCTGTAGAATGTGAAGTTTTCTGCAATGGCCAGTTTATTCTGTCTAGCACTGATCTCCAATAGTTTAGGCAGAGGTTTTTTTCTGTTTCTGTAAATTCATTCTTTTAATTCAGGATGGCAGGGATTGAATGTGAACATTCTGAATGTAGAGCATGTGCTTTACACCTAAATTATAGTTTTTCATCTGCTACCAATAAAGCATAATATACAAGGCATTGCAACAACTTCATTAATTATTACATTTATATATAGGATACAGAGATCTATTAATGAAGGAACCAGAATATCTGAGTTTATATTAATATACTTTTAAACCACCTATTAATGGCTGTGGTAAAGATCTGTACCACTGTAAAATGTTTGTTTTAGAATGAGGCTATAGTGGAAAAATCTACTCATAATGGTTAACACATTCTAATATGGATTTGTCAGTATTAATTTTCTACACACACACACACACACACCACTCTCCCAAAAAATATGGCGAGAACATTCATAATAATCTAGCAATTATAGACTAAATTCATTATTATGTACTGGAACAAGGCTTTACCTTTAAAATTTCTTTCCAGATTTTATCAGGAGAAAAGCTTATTAAGCTAAAAATAAAATAAGTAGAACATTTACAGAATATAAAAAGATCCCTAAACAACACCAATAATAATAGATTATGGAAGTGTTTCTGGTTCTGCTCTTCAGAAAATTACATGCTGATGCAAACATATTTTGTCAAAAGGATAATGGAGACACTGAACAAAATATTTCAGAAATCATCAAGAACAGGATAAATAAAATTGTCTTTGAACAGGTAAAAGGCCAAACACTGACCACTGCAAATCATTGAAATTAGGCCAGAACCTATAAAAGAAGGAGGAAAAAGAAATTCTATATTAGTGTACATAGCACTAGTAAGAATGCATATAGACTGTTTGTTGTACTGGACAGAAGTGTGTTTCTTATTTGGGGTATTGCCTTTTTCTATTAGTTTTTAAGGGGCTTCTTCTTCCTTTTCAGGTTCAGGAAGTAAAATTATGGTAAATCTTCTCACCATTTACTTTATATCCAGCTCTTTTCATTGTGAAGTATGCCTGCAGAAGCAGTTCCAACAGTTACATTATAACCTTGAGCACAGTCAAGAAAACCTTGATAAATATGTTTGGCACATCCACACTATATATTTAAATTGCTCTTTCTTTCCGGGGAACTCTAGGATCTTAGTTCTGATGTTTGAGTTTAGCCTGTGGCCTAAGTATTTGTACCTGAGAATACTCAGCATCTTAGCAAAATAGAACTCCCACCCCTTCAAAGTGGGAAGCTGTAACTGTTTATATAGAAACTTTATGCGTTTGGTATAAAACCAGGCGCAGACAATTTATCTGCCATTATTCTGAACAGTCTTTTTAAATATAATTTTGCATTCGGGTAAACAATGCAGGATGAACTTCAGAACATCCCTCATTAGATATCTAAAAAGGTAATATTTCCCTTTGACCAACTCAGTTCCTGGAGACTTTATGGACACAACCTTGTAGTTTCTTGACAATATAAAAGTGTATTTTTTTAAACTTCCTTATCAAGATTGTAGCTTTGGTTTTCTGGTGATCTTCCATCCAGCTACTAATCAAATCTAATCCAATTTGCCATGTGAGTTATACATTCACATCCAATATCAGGACACAAGTATGAAAGGCTAGAATTTGTATTCTGATGTTGCAAAGCACATTTTTTCATCAGTGTGGTTTATACCAGACACCTGTGTCTTTCTTTCTATGCAATTTGAGCTCTCAGGAGCTCTACCATTCAATAAAATGTCAAATATATTTTGTATAAATATATATTTGTGTGATTTATGATGGAACAACCAAGCTCAAGATTACAGTTACAAATAAAGAGATAGGTGAAGATATATGAATTGTCTTGTTTCACTATTATTTTTTTTTTGGAATGATATACTTTAATAGAGTGACATTTCCTAACTACCAATATTATAGATTTACTGTTTGGGATGATAAAATCATAATTGTTTAAACATACCTAAAGCTGCCCACCAGTGCAACATCAGTGGAAATTCAGCCATTACTGTAAAATGATAAATTATAATTTACTTCAACTTTGGAAGGGAAACATCAACATCAACATCAAAACATCAACTTTAGAGGGGAAAAATACCCCTAATGAATATAATGCCATTGTGTTTATAGGTCAATTTTAGGAAAGAATTGGAATTAAAAAACTGAAGATAGTACATTGCTGTTAATTATCATAGTTCAAAAACTATATTGATAACATTGGAATAAAATGGAATGAATCCTGAAAAATGTATGTCTCAGTGCAGCTGGGAATATTATGTGTCTGGACATTATGTGCCTGCCACTTCTAAATTCAAGAATAGGGCCCGTATTACTTTCTCTGAACCAGATGTCTGCTCATCCTCCTTTCCTACTAAAGAGTTGTTCAATGGGAGTTTACACCCAAGGTATGCTTGGTGATGGCTGCATTTTTGGTCTGGTCTTCAGTCCTGATCAAATGCTAGCCAATTGCATTCTGACATGTGCTGAGAGAGAGAGTGAGAGACTATATATTTCAGGAGATCTTTGAGAGTTCACAGAAAACTCAGTGGTGTTTCAACAAGGATAACCTTCGGTCCAAATTATCTCAATGGAGCCCCCACTCTGCTGCTGTTTAGAAGAGCTGTGAAAACCTGGCTCTTCACCCAGGCCTTTGGTGAGGGAAACTAAGACCCCTCACTTCATTGTGCTTGCCATCTTTTATCTTTATCTTTTATCTTTTATTTAATTTTTGTAATTTCTTTGCTTGATTGTTGTGAGCCCCCCAGAGTCATGGAGAGCCAGGCAGCATTAAGTTTAATAAATTACTGTATTATTATTATTATTCAGCTAGGACATCTTTTTGCTTTGACATGTGGTCTTCCTTTAGTTCTGCCCCCATTAAAGCACATTTAGGCTGAATTCACACAGAACCCTAAGCCAGAATTTTTTTTAAACAATGATTTGTTCAGCAAACCATCAATGGGAGGGGAGTCACATGTCACATCAAACTGAACCACATTATGGCTGAGCATTATATGTGGTCTAGGCATCACCCTGCCTCATAGAAAACAATGGACTCAGGAAAAAAAGAAGGCATGCCAATAACTATCTCTATATTTATTTACTATATCGCAGGGAGTTTTTATCAGCCTTTCCCAACTTAAGGCCTGGGCGGAGATATCTCAGAAAGTTGAACAGGGTTGGGACCTAGTTAGTACCTGGAAGGGAGGCCACTAGGAAATATCAGGACTGTAGGCTAGACTGGGAAGTAAAAAATATTCTGGAAAAAGGCAGTGGCAACCTCTTTCTTCATTTTTGCCAAAAACAAAACCAAACCCTGTGTGTCTGTTTATCACAGTTTATGTTTACTCTATTCTTATTGCTCAGGATAAACAAGGGTACTCTTCCCCATTTTTTGCCCATGGGGTTGGAGAGAACCTTTTCTTCCGCACCATAATCCTTCACTATGATCTTTCTGTATTAATTTGCTCAAACCTAGACTGCAGCTTCAACAAAAAATCCTGATATTTCTTCCAGCTTTTGGGTGGGTGGAGCAGACTGCACTTAAACTATTTTAATCATGCTTTTCTTGACTTGGAAAGGGATATTACTATGTCATCACTTTAGACCAGTGTTTCTCAACCTTGGCCACTTGAAGACATGTGGACTTCAACTCCCAGAATTCACCAG